ATATACTAGACAACCTATAAATGTTTGCATCATGCATTGCCTCCAAAAGGATGGTCGGGAGATGTCTTGCGTAGTGGCTGGTCACCCTACCTTTGAACCGTACGAATCTCACCAAAACTTTTCTGGATGCGGGAAGGGGTCGTCACCTTGATTGTGCACCTAGGCGTTTTCGGCACCTTGAGCATTCAACCGCGGGCAAAAAGTGCATGATCCCATGAACACTGGGCCTCCAATGGACCGCGATTTTCACAGACCACTCCGCTTTCTCACAGGTTGGACTTGGGCAAACCGAAGGCTTCGGTTGTGAATCCCTCAAGAAAACTCATCTGCTTCGGCCTGAGCAATCTAGCCACGCTCACGAGCAACCGTGGGTTGATTTGGTTATCAAAAATAGTGTAACGTGATTTGTATGGCGCACAACCCGAAATCGAACAAGTGCGAAATATAATAAAATAATACAGCGTCTGAATCTTGTACACCCATTCATGTGTGGCGTAAAGGACGGTGTGACAGAAGTGAAGATGGATAAAATCCAATGATGATGTTTCAGTACAAATGGATTAGGACTCAACTTGTAGTTGCGACACATTCAGTGTTTTTGGGACAAATGGTCTTATCGGTACTGAAACAATTCCGATTTTGCATTCAAAGCATGATTCGAGAAATCGGAATACACAAACCGGACTTCTAGCTCTATAAAGCTTCCCGTGGTCACTAGTGAAGAGATGACGAGGCTCACACAGGAGAGTAGTAAAACCATTTATCAGGGATAATCATTACCTGATTTAAAACGTCTGCTGCACACCGAGGGACGTGATGAACACAATCACCACCACGATCAAATAATTATACCAACCCATTGAAGAATTATCCAGAAGCAGTGTGGTCACCTGCCAGACTCTGTATTCCACACGTACAAACCATATTCGGCAAATCACTATGATGCAAACGACCAGTATATCTTACCTCCGCATACAGAACATCAACTGAGCTGGGATCATCGTTCATAAACTGTAACCCCTGAATGGTTAGTTTGAACGGACCGTCAGCTAGCAGTGAAAGCCCTTCGACAGACTGAACAAACTCCTTGAGTAAATCACATGTCGTCGACACCTCAGTGACATCGGCTAGCAGAAGCACGGCGATCGTGAAGTGCAGATGCTCCGACGAGTAGAACACATCGGGCACGACACCGCGAAAATCCCCGACCGTGTCCCCTTGAGCTAATTCAAGTGCCTTTTCTCGGAACGTCTCAAATGCGGACTGCACGGGTGACATGTTAGCACGCATGGAGAAGAAGTGAGTCGGGCGAGAAAGACCGCGTGCTTTGTACTCCAACCATCGAATACGTCTACAAGCATTACGAATATTGAATTGGTTAGTAGACTTCAGCAGTATCTCACAGCTTCCGCTAGACCTCGACGGAATTTTGATTTGACAGTTGAACTCTTTTTCCATAGTTTTAAGAGTGGCATGCTGGCGTCCAACTACGAAACCGTGAAACATGGTGGGAACACGCAACCGACAGACAAAGTTATTACCCTCTTGGAGGATTTCCAAATCCGGGCTCTCCGTGAAATCTTGATCCGGTAATTCATTTAGCCCGTCTTCCATTTCCTCCTCCAAGTGACCGACGGGGACGGTCAGATCGGAAGAATGCTCATGTCTGGATGGATTTATACGATAATGCCGTTTTCCAGTATGAAACATTTTCGGGTGCGTGAGAGACATCTGAAGTTTAGGATAGAAAATGAAGGGACATTTCCAAAAAATTCCCTAAACGAGTTTGTGTGCATTTGAGATACATATTCGTGTATTTTCACATACGCCTGAGTTCAGGCTGTGCAAAACAAATTACGGTACAATAATCTTTATAAAAAGAAAAAAGTTGCATGATTTTCTCGGGGACATGATACTACCCAGAGCTTTCGGTTAACCAAAGCCTGACCCGTAAGGCAGAGGGGCGGTGTGTGAAAACCTCACTCCACTTGGGACCGGTGTACAGTTATCGGTTCACATGCCCATTGGACGGGGTCAAATATCCAGTGCCCACTACAACTTAATAAATAATCGAACCGATCACAACCAGGAAGGTATGTGCGTGGTTCGTACGTCTCCTCTTGGTTGGTTTGGAATCAGGGATTATAGCCAACTCCCCCAGGCGAAGTGTCAGTGGTTCACTGACCCGGTTATAACCCCCGATATTGACTTTTAATCCTCTCGATTTGGTGGGAAAACATTTCCGTCATGAGAAGGCGGATAGTAGAGCTTCCTTAGCAGAAGCTATTTGAGACGCACGATCATTTAATGAGGTACAAGAGAGGGATAATCAGCCACAACCACAGATACCCGCTGCCGACTATAATGAGGATTTCGGAGGCGTTGGAGAGGAATGGATGCTATTTCAGCTTATATGTCGCATATAAGAGGTATAAGTGAATGGTGCTCAGCCACGACCTGGGAAACCTACTCCCTAGCCTACCAGGGCCCTTAGAGTTACACGACTTCCACCCGGGGCTTCAATTAAGACAAAACTACAATTTCATGCGGCGCGATGGCTGGCGTTCCTCTATGGCTTAGCAGACTAAACAAGATGGCTCTCACAACTTGAAAGATCAAGATGTAGAGTCTAGACAAATCTCATTAGACCAGGTGATTGGATACAAACTGGCTTTTTCGTAAACCACACACTTTGACCCAAGGAAAGGTTACTCTGGTAAATAGACGTGAGTAGTTTACCGGGAACACTGCTAGATGGCGTTGATAGTGGGTACCTGAGGGTTTCCTGCAAACGGTGACAAAAATCTTCGTCTTTCTTTCACTGAACAGCTGTCGTGCGCTCAAACTTTACATCCCTCAGCCAATAAAATGCTATTCTTTTCACGTTGTGCTTCTCTCCTGGATGGATAAGGCTAAGGGTCAATCACGAAAGCCCAGTAGACCACTACTGCATCAGCGAACAAAACACTCAACTGAAACCTAAAGGACTTGCGTGACAGCTCTCTAAAGGCTAAAGGTTTTTGGTCCAGCCCTAAGCTAAGCCAGAAAAGTTATTGTGTTGCTAAAACCAAAATCTCATAACTAAGCTTCACTCAATGTCCTAAAGCGAGCCGAACTGATACCACAATATTAGCAGGAGAGAGGAATGGCAGAGTACGCCGGCTGACTTCGAGTGAGGTGCATCTGGGAGGACTAGATTCCTGACGGTCGGTGGGACGGCTGTTGGACCGCCGCCTATTCCTCGCCAGTACGAACTTCAAACGAGCCAACTATTGGTACACCATTTGGCTTCCGCCTTCTTGGAGTCAGTGACAAACGCCAATCGACCATAGTTCCAGAAGGCGGTGCTGGTTGAGGATAGTCGTTTATTGATGATCAAAGATTGGACATCAGTAATTTGGCATAAATAACACAGAAAATCTCATCAGAAACATATGATCGCAGTTCATGACCGCACAACGGGTAGTGAATGTAGCAATCGATGGTTATTCTTCGAGACCCAGCAAATCGCCTTCGGTGACCTTGTTGATTTTTTATTGTTGAAATAAATCACCATGTTACCTACTACTCACAAGTGAGTAGCATCTCACTACACTATAAGCCACAAATTGCGGGGCTGCATACAAAACTGCCGATCGTATTGGTGCGTCCCCCTCGAATCCGACTAAGCATAAGTTTACGCCAAGCTGCCTATGTGCTTCGGTATGCGTTTCAAACATACGACAACGACAGTAAGGTAAAATGTCTCAACCAGCATGCCTATCTTTCAGAACGCGCTAACTGCAAAGCTAGAACTAACCCCGCCTGATAGCATCAATCAGCACTGACCGTTCATTAAGAATGCTCCACATTCTGCTGACCTAGATAGTTGTGATCAGAAACGTCGTGCCGTGACCAAAAAGATGTTTCTTCATTTTCTGACGGACGATTTTCCTCTTATTTACAGTACCTACAACCACCCTCTATCACAGTACGGTACCCAAGTTGCACACTCAGGTTTCATCCAAGATCTTGACTACCTTGAGCGTGTCCGGGGGTTCGCTAAAACACTCTTGCTTGGATTTGTGGGCCTCCGATACCCAATGCGTCTTCAACAACTAGGCCTCTATCCGGTAGAAGTTAGACGCATTAAGGACGATCTATTTCTCTTCTACCATCTTTTGACACGGGTACTGTGGAAGCTTTCTTCGCTAACTCTAATTCTACCCGAGGTCACAGCAAAATATTTTCAAGCCCCGCCAGGGAACTACCTTGTGTGACTTTTTTCAAAGTGACATCCTTACGGAACGCCCTCTCTGAAGAGATACTCAGCGCCCCCAGTAAGGGGATCTTCAAACATGGTACCGTCGNTAGGCCTGCGCCCCCCCCCCCCCCTATCCAAATAAATTAGTTACATATATTATATATTTCCAACAAAACAACAGTAGCGAACAAGCTCGTTTCCAGAGATTCGTATTCATGCCAATACATCTCGATATATATATATATATATATCACTACTTGGGGATAAAACTGTCATGGGAAAAGAAATTCATATATTGCTATTTTATTTTCCCATGACAACTGTATTCCCAAGTAGTGATACATACTGAGATGTATTGACATGAATACAAATATCTGAAAACGAGCTTGTTTCCAACTCTGTTGTTTTTTGAAATGTGCTCTGTGGGACCAGTTCGACAATAATTACCGATAAATATCGAACCCATCACCCCGTTTGCATTACTCGAGCGAACTTATTGTTTCATTTTACTTTTCGCCTCGTGCAACGAAACCCGACTAATTCCATTTCACTACTTTCGGTTCTAGAATCATTCTATCGAAAAGAAAACACAGATACCTTTCAGGCACCCGGGACACTTGGGCAATAGCCTCGTGCCTGTGAATTTCTTCAAGACAAAATCCGACACCATCACTCTTAGACCACGTTTCTTCTCCTTGACACATCGCTAACTCTGGGTAGCTCGGAGCGGTGGGCTGAAAGCTGTTGCTTTGACCCTGACAAAACCTTGGACGTGTACTGTCATTCTGAAAAACTATCAGAATTGCGTTTTTCTTTTCCAGAATCGCACCCACTTACATTAACGTGGGCCAAGTAACACAATTTTTACATTGCAGTGATGTCCTTAAGCTCATTCTTGCAAGACGCTGAACTGATTCTGGATCCACCGCAGGTCCTGTGACCCGTCCTATGCTGACCTGAAATAAACTGAGACTGCAGGATCTCGAACTCTTCTTTTTGGAAAGAAGAGTCCGAGGTGACTGGACAAACATTTAAAATTATGAATGGCCTATCTGAGACGGATCAGGCAGTTTTTCCAGAGATTACGAGGCAACACTAGAAAGCACATGTATGAGCTGAAGAAATTGCGCACGAGATTAGAAGTGCGTTTCAAACTCTTCAGCAACAGGGCAGTCAACTCATGGAATAAATTACCATGGGAGCTGGTGGAACCAAGTAAAGTACATGCGTTCAAGTAGCTCGATTAGTGTTGGTCAAACTTATTTCCAGAAATAGACGTGTAGGATTAGGCCTGGTAACAGTTCTTCCATTTACTAACCACCCCTACTCGGGGACTGCTCCCAAAACGGGGGTCTGTCGCCTGAACAAAGAGAGAAGATAATTTGTTTCTTTTTCTTCTCTTGCAGTGGTGGAGATGACTGGAACTAGCAGAACCCATGAAGAACTTCGAATATAGAACACTCAACATGGTAGCAGCCATCACCATTCGGGCTGGCTACCGAAGGACCTGTTCTCCCTGGCCCGCAGACGCATTCGAGGCGACCTTATAGAGCCGTTTAAGATTGTCAAAGGGCTTTCGGGTCTAAAGTTCTAAAACGTATTCTCGTTTGTTCCGGACAGGGGCACGAGGGAGCATCAACTTAGATTGGAAAGAAGTCATTGTAGAATGAATCTACGAGTAGGGTTATATCACTGTGTAATAAATTACCTGAAGCAGTGGTTAACTGTATTAGTGTCGAATCTTTCAATGCAAAGCTAGATGAATGCTGGGTAGTAGTATTTCCCGAAGTTGAATGTTGAAAGTTAATCGTTAGGCTCTACTTTCTGAAACGTTGTAAGGAATCTGATACTGCACACCAACATTCTGCCTTTCAGAAACCACTAATAACTCGAATTGTTGGAAGCCAACGAAACTGCCGACAACACAAGGAACTGGACGCGCGATTGGCAAGAGCCACGATTCGCCCTGTAAGAACTAAACTGAACTGAAATGACTAAAAGTAAATATGGACTTGAAAGCTTTCATCGGAATCTGTTTGGATTTTTGTGATGTACGACAGAATGAAAGTAAAGGGAGGACTGCTGGAGCCGGATAAACAGAATACTGTACGATTTTTGGGCTCTGTTGCGGAGGTGCGACGATCTGGACGACGTTCCTTACCGATATTAGTTTCACTTTTAGCCCTCGAAAATCGAAATGAATACAGAAAAGCTCTTAAAACACACCAGTGGACGTTATTACGTCGGATATTTTGCATACTTTCATTTTAATACATTTTTATATTCACTTTGTAGTATTCTAAAATCACATTTTGATATAAGTACTTTCAAGCTATTGATGAGTAACTGGTATGTTATGGCAATTTTTTTTTGCGGAGGGATGACTGTCGATCAGGTCCACCTAAACTTCTTTCTCTGATACCCTCAAGTAGCCCATTCTGCCATCCCCACCATGTCCTCCTGTGACCTTGTCCGCTTTGTGTTCAGC